CCTACTGGATTCTCCACACCCAGCTCAAACCCTACACCCTGAATCCTAAACCGTTATCAAGCCTTAAACCCTAGCGACTATCCCTCATGAGGTGTGGCCCCAAATCTAGGGCACCAGCCAGCCACGTCAGCACTGGTGACCGTTCATCTCCCAACTGTAAACGGTTTGTTGGCTCCCTGGATGGAGCTGCCAGCAACGCATGACTGGTCAAGAAAGGTCGGGTGCAAGCAGTGGGATTAGGGTTGGCTGCTACACCTGGTTATGGCCACCCTAGGTCAGGAAGTTGTCGGGCGTGCGACCCACTGGGTATTTAAATCAAGCTCATTTGAAGCTATGGCTGTAGTCCCCAAGGCGTGTTCTCCAACTCCTGAACGTCGCAAACCACTTCCAGCCACGCGCACAAAAGTGGGGCTGCTGTAATTCTTGCCTGCTGTGCTGCACCTGGTCATGCATTGACAGCTCACGTAAACAGATGATGGGCGCGGGAAAGACTTCTGGGCTTTCCACATACAGGTAAAGTGAGGCGTTGGCTGTGTTCCCCAGGTGTCGGCTTCAGACTTCCTGACGTTAGAAATCAACCCAAGCCCTTGTGGTGCTCTGGGGCAAAGAAACCGCAGGGTGATGTCACCACCAGTCACTCACGACTAAGGGGTTGATATATACAGCCGGCTGGCTCCCCCTTAATGGGTGGCTGGTGCAGGGCTGGTGCCATAGCACAACAGCATGTGCCGAGTTTTGAGGTGTGCACGACGCCAACCAGCATGGTGTCATTTGGCGGTGTCACCAGTGACACCTGGTCACGTGGGTGTGAACTTGTGACTTAAGCACGCTCCCAAGGGGGTCAACCTACCAACCCTGCCCTGTCCAACTAGCACTACTTGTGTATCATGGCTGCTGAGGTGCTGCACTTGAGCAACATCCATTCGGGCCAGCATGCTGGCGGCCGCCGCTGGAAGGACTGGACAGTGGTGTGAGAGCATGAGTGCACCAGGGCAGAGCGTCCGGCCTGCTGCTGATGAAGACGGATCAAGACCTCACTCGCAGTGCGCGGTACTTGGCTTCATACCGTAATACACATCACGCAACCATAACCCTACAGCCATGGTCCAGCTCCTCAGCACCCGCAGCGGAGGTGCGCGGGATCTGCGATGTTTGTTTGAGGATGAGTTCAGCGCGTTGAGCCTCTTGATGTAGCACATTGTGATATTCTCTATTGGTAGCGATGGATAGATTGGCTCAAAAGCGCACCAGTCGCGCTAGCTCAGGCTTGGCGCAATGCTGCAGCGGCGCTGCTGGAGCAAAAAATGGCGCTCGGCCTCACTTCCGCAGCAACAAGTTGATCCAATTGTCCCACGGAACCTGGTACCACAAAAAAATACCATGATTGTAAAAAAATCCACACATCCCTCACCACCACTGCCATCCCACCCCAACTGTTGACGTCGCCAGTGATTCGCCCAGCAGCGACACCCGCCGGCCGGCGGCTGTCGGTGCGTGTTACGGCGGCTAAGCAGCTTCAGAATGACCGCACCACCGTAAAAAAGAACGGGGAGAGCGCGGCGCAGGCCACCAATGGTGTGTCTCGAAGGGTTTCGTGCTCGCTGCGGTTTCAAGAGTTGCTGCTGCTGCTGCTGCTGCTGCTGCTGCTGCTGCTGCTGCTGCTGCTGCTGCTGCTGCTGCTGCTGCGGCGGCGGGTGCTGCTGCTGCGGGTGCTGCTGCTGCAGGTGCTGCTGCTGCGGGTGCTGCATTGCCGTGGTGGCAAGTGCTTGTTTGTGCTGAATGCAGGGTCAAATCATGTACCTTGTCTGATGCACCCGCCCGGCTTCCCGGCCGCCCAACCCTGGAGCAGACGTCGGCACTGCGGGGCTGGCGGCCATCGCGCTGGGCCTGCCGGCCAGTGGCATCACACTTTGGTCCGAGTACACCCTCTTCACTACCGGCGCGGGGCTGCCCCCGGGCCCTGGCGGTGCCCTGGGCGCCGCCGAGGTGAGAAGGGCGGCAGAATTCCTGAGAGACTGTGAAGGCAGGGGTCACCCTGGGTCACCACAGCGGGTGCAGCAGTACCCAGACCATATTGTTGATGTTCCTGTGTCATATCAAACCCTGCAGGGCCTGAGCTATTTGGTGGTCATTGGCATCATTGGCTGGTCTGCAGCCACCAAGGCCAGCACTGGCAGGTGCGTTGTTGGGCAACGCCCTTCTTACACTAATGCACAGTTGCAAGATTGGTTTCAGATGCGCCGTGGGGGCAACACGCTGCTGCGGGGCCGCTGATGCTCCATAGCAGGCCGTTCCCGCGGTTGGCTCAGCTTCAGCTGGTTGTTGTGGTTGTGTAGAAGCCGCGGTACTTCCAGACTCGACACACTCAGCTGATACCTGCGTGCTAGGTGCGCTCTGCACACAGGCGCGTGGGGACTTGATTTCTTCCTCCATGCTTGCGTTGGGAGGCTCAAAGAGATGTGCGGGTGCGCGCACCACTGCCAAACAAGGAGCCCCAAAACATACTCAGTTCCCCCTTGTTGTATCACCCCTGCAGTGGTCTCCCCGCCGGCCCTGCGGGACTCCTGGGTGCGGTTGAGGGCGTTTCCTACCTGGCACTTCTGGGAGGTGAGTAAGAGGTTGTCATTGCACAAAACAGCGACGTTATAACTACTAAGCGGGTCTTCTTGTGGGTTTGTGTGCTAAGAGTGTATGTGGTGCAGCTAGCACAGTTCAAGTACAGTACACTGCCAGCTGACCCCATTTGTGCGGGCCTGTCCACTCATAACCCTCAGGCATCATCGCATTCGGGGCACAAATCGTGAAGACCGGCGGCCTGCCAGGTATCTTTGGCTAATTTCAACACGTCCATGTGCAGCTGTCCTGTTTGCGGCAGCAATGTAAGACTTGCAACTGGCAGCCAGAGGCGTGCACTTGAGGCTACAACGCCGCTCTTACGCATACGCATGGAGCCTGCCCAAGACAAATTTGCAAGAAAGGTGATGGTGTAAGCTGAACGACGTTTTCACAGCATGAAAAGTAACTTGGTACAATGGCAGTGCAGCACACCAAGTTGACACATCACATGCAGCAAGACCACAGTGTGACAATTCAAAAAGGGGACAGGAGATGAGCAGCAACATCCACAGGTCAGCATGGCATAGCTCAGGCCACTAGGCATGGCTTGTAAACAGGTCGGCAGTTCTTGATGATACACCAGCTTTTGAACCCTGGGCCCAAGCAAGCAGACAAAAAATGGTACAGCAGGGCTACACAAGGGTGCTGCGGCACGTGGGAATACAAGGTGCACGAACACTGCTTTGGCAATATGTGCATCACGAGTTGCATCTTGGAAAGCCTGGTGCGCGCGAGCAGCCGGGCATGATCCATATAGGGTTTGACACAGCCCAATCAGCACAGACAGCCCTGCAGCCTCAAGACTCCTTGCTCAGTTCCGCTTTGCAGCCACAGCCTGACGACGACGCACCCTCAAGCCAGCTGCTTTAGGCTGTTCAGTTGGCACTGCCTGCAGCGCAGTCTAGGACTCAGGACTGCCTGACGAGGCCACCGTCGACTGGGGGGGGGGCGAGTGGAGCTCGAGTAGGGACCGGGGCATGTGCCGACAACAAAGCACTTGTTTCAAAGATCGAGGCAAGCACCACCCCTCCCTTGATAGTCATAATCCAGTATGCATGGGCTGGCACGGTTGCACATGTGCATAACAGCCCAGCCTCTCACCAGGAAGCTGATCCAGCCGACTGCGACCACGTTGCAGTACAAGATGCGCTGCTCAGGCGGAACCAGGGTGAAGTTGACGAGGTGCGCAGCTGGCCACAGCTGACAATTTCAAGAGGGAGCGGAGCGAGGGGATGGTAAGACCAGGATCCCTGACAGAACGAATTGAATTGCAAACATCAAGTGCATAATGCTGACGGTGGCCCCATCCTTCGTGCGCACCGTGTAGTTGGCGGTCATGGTGGGCACAAATTTCTCTTGAATCACTTCGACCGCACGCTGCAAGCCCCTGCCCTCCATCAGTGTCACGGACATGAAAAACTGCAGTGGCAGAGGGGTCAGAATGGGTACGGCACGCTGTGAAGCAGGTCACGCCACAAAATGTAGGCAGCTTGTTTGCTGTTTGTCTGCACCTTCGAAATCTCTGTGCTTGCAGCCGGCAACAACTGAGGGTATGCTCCTTTGACACAACCGGCTCTTGCCCACCACAACCCGCACCAGGCAGAGGCCGATTGGCGACATAATGGCCTGATCTAGCCCCATCTTGGCCAGCGCAGTTAGTGGGTGGTTCATGCGGGACGGAAACACGTTCTGCGTGCAAAGAGGGATGCATCTTGCGGACTCAACATGGGTGGGGCCAGCAGGTGAGGCGGCCCTTGAGAGCAACTGACTGTCAGCGAGCATGTCTCCTTCACCATCGACGCCGGGCACATATGTCGACTCCTCAAGGCCTGCTGCGCTAACCTTGTCCAGGAGGCCAAACCAGGCGTGGTTGATGGGGGTGCCCAGCAGGGCAGCGTGTGTACACAGCCGTGCTGTGCGCGCAAAGTCGAAGGAGAACTTGGAAGAAGTAACGCCGAGCTTGCGCCGGTGGGACACGTACGCTGCGCCCTGCGCGATGCTGTCTCCCAGGGCGCTGCCGAGCACGCCTGACACAGGGTTGTAGGAGTGGCACTGGATGAGGAGCCGTAAAGACAGCAAAAAATGATGCATGCTCAGATCTACGGGGGCAAATGGCATCTCGGCTCACCCGTTGCGATTTTCGTTGCCAGGGGACGCTTGACCAGGTGATCGCAGTACTGCTCCCACGCGTTACGCATGCCCATTCCGACGCGCCCATAATCCATTTGGGCACCACCGTGTGCCTGTTGGCAAGAGGATTTCTAGTCTAAGTTCAAACCAAAAGCATGCTTCTTGCTGACCCCGCACACCCGCAGAGCAGCGCCAGCACCAGCGCTCCGTTCGCTCCGCTGCAAGGTTCTGCTGACGAACAGGCAGCTGCCCGTCGCTTCTAGTGCTCGTTGTTTGGCGCAAAGATGCCGATCTGAACAAGACACCGGCTTCATGCCATAGTACAATTCCTGCAGAGCGGAAATTGAACCGGAGTGTAGAAGCGCGCTGTGCGCAGATTTCAGTGGCACCGCACCTTGGCTCATTGACGTGTATAATCTATTGCAGGAGCTTGACGCGATAATGAGAGTAGCCTATCGGCTGCAAGTGCCGACGTCTGCACAGCAGCTGCTTGCCCTCCGCTGCGTGCCACGGACACCAGTCGTTGCAGGCACTGTTGCCCGTCCCGCTGCTCTGCAGCCGGAGCAAGTGGGCAGTCAGCTGAACCGGTTGGCCATCACGCTGCGGCGAGGTGTGATTGTCAAAGCAGCGGCGTCCAGCGAAGGCAAGATGACTGACCCGGACGGCTTCGACCCTGTGGCGGATACGGTGCGCGGTTTTGGACATCACAGACCGCATGCCCTTGCCAGGTGTGCGTTTCAGCAACATCAATTCCTATGTTGCAGGTGGGCGCCGGCATCTACAGCGGACGGGTGAAGCGTGATGCTGCTGGCGAGGTCGTGTGGGGCCGCCAGTATGCAGACCACAACAGCGCGCCTGGCCCAGTGTATGACGGCAATGGCTACACAGACATGGCCAAGGCCATCCACACGGGTCCAGAAGCAGTAAAACGGCTGCTAGCAGCGGCGTCCGACCCTAAGGCAGCTGCGAATGAGATCATGACTGGCGGGGCGCGTCCCCTGCACACGTGCGTACAGTACAGGGCGGTGGGAGGGCATTGTTTGCCTGCTGAATGGATACTCCAGCGCAGTGCTTTAACAAAACAGCTGAGCCTCAATGCCTGGTCAAGGGTGATGTTTATGGGTGCTCCAGCACACGCATTTGCGCTCAGGTGGCTGTCTGGCAACTTGCAGTTTGCTCACTCGCGATAAACTCACAATGATGCATCCTCCTTTAATTGCGCCCATGCCAGGTGCGGCATGAGCAAGAAGGGCCAGCTCAGCACACAGCTGCTGATCGACGCAGGCGCCGATCTTGAAGTTTACGACACGTACGGCTACACCCCGCTGCACCGCATGGCAAGCAACAACCTGCCAATCGGCGCCCGGGCCTTGCTCGAGGCTGGCGCTGACCCGTCCCGTGAGACGGACAAGGCCTATGTGGGGGACAGCCCCCTCAACATAGCGGTTTGGAACGGGGCGCGGGACGTGGAGCGCGTTCTGCTGGAGTTCCTGGGCCGGTGACACTTCTCAGTTGACCCTGCTGGTTGCTGCGCGCAGCCAGTTGTGGAGCAGTAGTGCAAACTTTGCTGAGTTCAAGAATCCTTGCCCGGAGGTGTGCATGGACTGAGGGTGGGCAGCATAGCATGTGTTGGGCAGAGGGCACATGCTTGTGCTGTGTTTCTATTGTTAAGCTGCTGGTTTGGCGGCGCACGAGACAAGCCTGATCTTGAGCAGGTGAACCAACTTGCACCTTCAATGCTCCAGAACCACAATGCAACTCTACGATTGGACTGGTCTGATCACATCAAGGTTCAAAACGCCATGAGATCAACACAATCATCTACAGTATCAGAATGCTTATGCTAAATTATTGCAGCACCTCTCCGACATGCTCGGAGCTGAGCGGGGGGGGGGGTCCCGTAGGGTGACATACACCAAGAAACGTATTGTGCCAGGGGGCGTACAGAGTGTCGGGTTGCAGTGGACACATAGTCACGCATCGCAGCTGCTGCAACAGGACCACTGCTAGATTTCACAACCCGTGCTGGAACCCCTACAATTGCGATGCTGCAGCAGAGCGTGCGGCGCCGATAAGAAGCTCATGTTAAACTCCCAAACCGCGGCGGAGGCGCGGTGACATTGCTTGTGAACAGCATCATCAAGAGTCAAAATTTATCGTATGTATTACTCCATGTACAGAGGACGTTGACCTCTCGCGCTGGGTCAAGCCAGGATTGCGAGGCCCACGAGCAGCATGGCGTCCAACAGACCTCACGACGTGCTTTATGGTAGGTAAAGTATCTATGTATGCAACAGCTTAGCCGCACTCGTCTCCTGCGTGATCTGCAGGCCCGTTTTCGCCCTCCATCGTGCAGACAGCACCTACACCGTGTCAGGAGCACGGGACTTCTACAAGCAGCAGGCTCATTTCCAGGTGGAAAAGGTCCCTGAATATGGCAACTTCTTTTCGGAGCTGCCGCACTACCCAGCAGCAAGCGTCAGGTGCGAAGGGCTGCGGCGCTGCGGGTTGGCCGAGCGGAGCGCGCGGCAAGCGCCGCTGAAAGCGGAGTGTGCGAGTTGGGCCTCAACCCATGTCCTGCCTTCTCTTGCTCGCAGGGTCAAAGGCGGCGACCAGGTGCCGATGTTTGTGAACCGCGGCTTCCACCAGCACACCAGCACACACCAGCAGCGCGTTTCCCAGAGCAGCGGGGCGCAGGTCAACGGCCCACACGGGTACAAGTTCCATCGGCAGCCTCTGCCACCACCCGGCACAGATACAGCAGCTGCATACCTGGCAACCCAGCTGGCGGCAGTGCGCTTTGCGCCCGTTCCGCCAGTGTCTGCGCAGGGCCAGGCTGCCCCCGAGCCGCCAGCAAAGGATGCGTGCACTCAGAGTGACTTCCGCGAGTCCGAGGTGCAGACACTGCCCTGGACGCCCGGTTACGTGCTGCCGCAAGAAGGCACAAGGCGCGCCGCCAAGCAGTCGGTTGTGAGCGGCGTGCGCCACTGCGAGGGTCCTGAGCTGCTTCAGCTGACCGACCTGAAGTGGGGCGACGGCCTGCCAGGTGCGCACGGACCCTTTGCAAACGTGGACGCGCGGCAACGGACCACACTGCTGCTGCACGTGCAGTGGTTTTTGAAGGTGCCAGGAGCTAGCGGCCAACCAGTAAGCTCCAGTAGGCAGTGCAGCTGCATTTACAGTCTGGTGCCCTGGCTCGCCAAAGCATCGTCAACCCGCACACAACCCAGGCGGCCTGCAGGAGGTCCTGCGGCTTGAGGCGGCACGCGAGAAGCGCGCGTTTGAGGCCTCTCTGCCGCCCATCGACGACCTGGCACAGCTGCCCCTGCGGCAAGCAATGATTGAGCAGTGGGAGGCACGCGAGTGGGCACAACGAGCAGAGGAGATCCGTGGGGTCCAGGAGCAGAGGCTGGGGTTGCTGGAGAAGGCGCTGCAGGTGAGGCTACACATAGGTTGGGAGGCCAAAAACTTGAGCGGTTGTGTCAGTGGTCGTTGTGTTTCACTACACAATCCCTACTGATGCAATCCTGCAGCGGAAAGCCATACAATCAACGTCAGAGCCGTCCAGTCGATCCTTGAGGCATGACGCCTGCATCGCAGGTGCGTGAGGAGGAAATCGAGGAGCAGCACAGGCAACAAGTGGAGGAGCGCAATGCCCAGCTGCGCCGTGATTACGCCTCCCAGCTGGCAACCATCCACGCCACACGTGTACGAACAGTAAGGCAGCTGGCACAGGCAAGGCGCAGGGCTGCCGACGTTGCCGGGCCTGGTGGCAGCTCAGCAGCGCTCTCTGCAGGCACCACGCGTCGCCGCCACGACATCATATCCCGCTACCAGGACTGGGCGTCACCAGGTAAGAAATTGAGGAGGTCCCTGCTGCAATCTGCCAAAATGGTGGTATTTTCAATCCCGAATTGAAAGACGGCGCTATGGCGGCATCCCCTTTGCACCTTGACACCATTGTTGACACACGCCACACCTGCACTGCTGTGCAGTGTACGCACCGCTGCAGCGAGATGGTCACTTCCCTGACGCCCACTGCCGTGCGGGTCCTGGAGCTGCCCTCGACCCAGAGTCCTTTGAACCCTCAACCTTGGCGGCTCTCGACGGGGTGGTAGCCACATTGCCGCGGCGTGCGCGAGAGTTTCGTCCTCGCGCGCCGAGGCCGTCGGGCCAACTCAGCTACGCAGAGCGCCAGGTGAGGGCTGCCAAATTAGGGCAGAGGGTGCGGTCAAGCTTAAACTCTCCCCAGGCAGGCTGTGTCGCATCTTGCCTGGACCGGCACAGTTGGCTGCAATTCCAAGGCTCCGGCTTCAATAGCAAGCATGTGTTTGTTGTGCAAAAGCTATTCACAACTCCCACCTGTGCACAGGAGGCGGCTCGTCAGGAAGATGTGGCGCACATGGCAGCACTCATTGAGGCGTCCAAGGCTGCGTGTCACGGGGCATCATCAGTGTACCCCCTGGGGGAGCATGTGGCTTGTAGAGCTGCGGGTGACAAAGACTTCCATTGCACCGCTGCTGGGGGATGCCCCGTGCAAGGTTCCATGGGTAGCCGTTTGGAAAGCGCAGGCCAGCGGATACGACACTCTGCAGGTGAGAAGAAAAATCGCAAGGGAAACTATTGGGGGGGGCAACTATTGTGCGCCCTCAACAGATGGGTAGCGCCTGGCGACAAGTGATAGTCGTCAGCCCTAAACCCACGCCCAACAAACCCCACAACCCTTTCATGCACTAAAGCTGCAGCGGGGGCGGCGGACACCATGTACGAGGCGCCGCCCTTGTCGCCCAGCTCCAGAGCAGATGCGGCCCTTGTGCTGTTGCAGCGCCTGCTGCGGGGCCGAGCAGCGCAGGTCGAGCTTACTCAACAGATAGACGCGCGCCTGGCGCTGATTCACGAGCTGCGACTGGGTCTAGAGGGCTGCGCAGGTGTGTGTGTGTGTGTGTGTGTGTGTGTGTGTGTGTGTGTGTGTGTGTGTGTGTGTGTGCGTGTGCGTGTGCGTGCGCATGCGCATGCGCGCGCACGCGCGCGCGTGCGTGCGTGCGTGCGTACGTGCGTGCGCGCGCGCGCGCGAGCCTGCATGTGTGTGTGCACGCAAGCGTGTGCTTGTGTGTCGTGGGGGGTCTTTGTATATGTATGCGTGCGCACGCGCACGCATGCGTGTTTGCGTGCGTTTGTCCAAACAAGTTGTCAGCTGCGCCACACAAAGTTGACGCACCATTAGTGCGTAGGAAGGCGCAGAGGTACATGCCGACACATTTGCACACCGTTTTACTGACCGGCTCGCCCTGTCACTGCCACCGCACTCACCACAGGCAGTCATCAACTGCCGGAGCAGCGTGACAAAGCAGTGCGTCTGCTGGACGCCAGCATTGGCGCAGCTATCTGCCGCGCCGTTTGCACCATTGCGGAGGGGCCTCAAGAGGAAATGACACGCCTTCTTGAGGCGGTCGCTGCCAGTGCTGACAAGACGCAGCAGCATGAGCCCGATGATCAGCTGGAAGACGCGCAGCTGCAGAACGCGGAGG